AGCAAATACTTCATGATTTCATTTATATGAAGTTCTAAAACAGATAAAATTAATCCAGGGACTTCCCTGGTGGCGCAGTGGTTAGGAATCCACCTGCCAGTGCAGGGGACATGGGTTTGAGCCCTGGTCCAGGAAGATCCCACATGCCACAGAGCAACTAAGCCCGTGTGCCACAACTACTGAGCCTGCACTCTAGAGCCTGTGAACCACAACTACTGAAGCCTGCATGCCTAGAGCCCATGCTTCGCAACAAGAGAATCCACCACAGTGAGAAGCCCGCATGCCACAACGAAGACCCAACGCAGCGAAAAATTTAAAAATATATAATAATAATAATAATGAATTAATCCATGACTGGGGAAGATGTTATCTGGAAAGGGGCATGGAAATTTTCTGGGGTGATAGAAAGTTCTAAGTCTTGATTGGAGTGTTGGTTACATAAGTGTATAATATATATTTGTTAAAAATCATCAAACTATACCTTTAAAGTCTGTGTATCTTATTTTATGTAAATTTACCTTGATAAAAAAAATATTGCCAAAACAACAACTTAAGGAAAGAGTAGTAAAAATTTTATTAATTAAAAAGAAGGCAGTGGCACAAGATTGTAAATCAACTATACTTCAATTAAAAAGAAAAGGGCAAATGAAAAGGGAAAAGGGAACATAAACCAGATGGGCCAAATAGAAAACAAATAGTAAGATGGCAGATATAAATCCAACGATAACAGTAATTACATTTAATGTAAGTGGATTGAATATTCCAGGTAAAAGTTACAAGTTGTTAGTGTTATTTGTATATTTCTTACTTTAGATTTGTCTGTCTTACATACAAGAGATATACATTAAATAGATACAGAAAGGTGAATAGTAAAAGGGGGGACAAAGATATAACATGTCAACATTAAGCCAGAGCAGGCTAGCATAGTGATATTAATCTGCAGACAGTAAGAATAGACTAATTTTTCAGGTTCCATGTTGTCTAGAAACTACAGAATATACCCAGATATAAAGTTAACACCAAATATCATGTGATCCCCATTTTCACAGTGAAAAACTACCATGGTTCAGATTTGTGGAGATCATTCAGGTAAAAAGAGCAAGCAACATTTTGCAGTCATTAGAGGGAAGCAAACCTAGAAATATAATTAATGGGAATTTTCTAGAGTTTGTAAAACTGGGAGCATCATTTCCCTCAACCACACACTTGGCTTCAGGAGGGTTCAGACCAAAAATCAATACCAGAATCCTGTGAATTATTTGCAGTGAGTATGAAGTCTTATGGTAAAGTTTACTATTTTGTGAACTCTGCATGGAATGGCTCATTGTAGGTTTAGTTACTCTCAGCTAATCATGCATGTTATTCTTATTTTAGGAAACAGTCTGGATTCAAATCTGGGATCCACCACTTAGTAGCTGGGAACATTAGGCTAGTTACTTAACCTCCACGGGCCTTGGTTTTTGTCTGGAACTCAGCTGAGCTGGAGAGAGCTGAGCTGCCAGGTGTCAAAGTAGCTGATTAAGACAGCCAGCCAAAATGAAAGTACTGAATAGCATTCAAGCATTTACTTAGCTACTGTGATAGTATAAGCAAGAGCGGAGAGAGCATGGGCCCACGTGGAAGGGCCCATTGGTGGAGGATGAGTTGGATCAGCACAGACAGAGGGGTCATCTCCCTGCTGAGGGAGCCCCATACAAGAGGCTGCTGCAGTTTCATGGACCTGGGGGCCAGGGGGAGGGAGAGGGGAAGGACTCGGTGTGGAAAAGGACTGAGTCTGAGCGGAGGAAAGTGTGTTCAAGGATCTCCTCTTCTCCCCCCAATAAAGAGGTTTCATGGGAGGCACCAGAGGATAAGAAGGAGGCCTCTGAATGAAGGTGCCTGTGCTAGGAAGGCAGATATGCATCAGGACGCCTGCCAGGTAAAGCCTTTGTAATCGCCAATGGTTGGGCCTGAGAAATCATGCATAGGTTTTTGTCTAGAAGCCGGACTGCTCAGTTTCAACTGTAAAATGAGGGATCATAAATGACATGATGAATATAAAATGTTTAGAACATCTGGCACATGGTAAACTCCCAATAAGTGTCTGTATTGTTATTTTAGTATTATTATTAGTATTACCCCTGAGTTAAAACTTCTTGTGATGTTGTGATATATAATAAGACACATATATATATATATACAGTTGACCTTTGAACAACACGGGTTTGAACCTTGAGGGTCCACTTATACATGAATTTTTTTCAATGGTAAATACTACTGTACTACGTGATCTGAGCTTGGTTGAATCCAAGGATTCAGAAACAGGGATATGGAGGGCTGACTGTAAGTTACACTCTGATTTTTGACTTTGAAGAGGGTCAGCGCCCCTAACCCCTGCATTGTTCAAAGGTCAAATGTATTGGGTCTTCATGCTCATTCTGGCACAGAGCTCCTAAAACCCTTGGAATTTCCTGTAAAGAGAGTTACAATGGTGTGTTTTGTTATGTTAATGAGGTGACCTTTGGACTGCACTTAAGGTTGGGGGCTGGTTGTCAGTGGAGCCAGCCCTGTGATTCAGAGGGTTGGAATGTTCAGTCCCACCCTCCTGCCCCCAGGGGAAGGGAGGGGGGAGAGGGGCGGGGTGGGGGGGGTGCTGGAGATTGAGTTCCGTCGCCAATGGCCAATGATTTGATCAATCATGCCTATATAATGAAGTCTCCATAAAAACCCCAAAGGACGGGGTTTGGAGAGCTTGCAGGTTGGTGAACATGCGGGAATTTGGGGAAGGTGGTGCCTGAAGAGGGCAAAGAAGCTCCGGGCTCTTTCACCACACCTTGCCCTATGCATTTCCTTCATCTGGCTGTTCCTGAGTTCTATCCTTTTATAATAAATTGGTAATCTAGGGAGTAAATGGGTCTCCTGAGTTCTGTGAGTTGCTCTAGCAAATTGATGGAACCCAAGGAGGGGTCATGGGAACCTCTGATATATAACTGGTTGGTCAAGAAGTACAGGTAATAATAACTTGGGCTTGCGACTGGCATGTGAAGTGGGAGGGCGGGCTGCCTTGTAGGACTGAACCCTTAACCTGCGGCATCTGATGCTGCCTCTGGGTAGATAGGCACCAGCTGGTGTTCAGAGAATTGTTCGTTGGAGGTGTGCGGAAACCACCCCCACACGTTGAAATTGGGTCCAGAAACCCGAGACTTGTAATTGCTTACTTGTAAGCAATTCCTATAAATAATTGCAGTGAAGGCTCTGCTATCTGCCCCTCCTATGCTACTGGTGAGAATAAAACAGGTAAAACTCTTCTACAAAGCCACTTTAGAATATGTATCACAGACAATAGATACTCAAACTCTTTGAGCATGGGCACTGCTAGAAATTTATTATAAGGAAGCAATCCAGTATGTGGGAAAAGATATATATGCTCAGAGATGATCATTGATTTCAAACAGTAAAAAAATGAGATGTCTAGCAGTAGGAAAAATGGTTTTAGAATTTGTTTCATACATGTGATGAAATGTTCTGCAACTCTTAAAAATCATTCAGTTTACTGAGATAACAGTTTTCATTGATTGGATTGGCACAAATTTAAATGTTCTTTGACAGTACCTTCTGCCATCAAGGACATGGAGAAACTGGCACTCTTATGTTTTAAAGGTGGGAGTGCAAACAGATATATCCCTTAACCAGGCAATTTGGCGATATCTAAACGAAATTACAAACGTGTATACTCTTTGACAAATCCTACTTCTAGGAATTTATCCTAAAATATATTTGCAAACGTATGTATCTGTGTGTACGTATTTACTTTGACATTGTAACGGCAAAACAGTGAAAACTGAAAGGAAGTAAAGAGATTGCATACATCCATTCAGTGGTATTCTGTGCACCTGTCAAAATGGAGGATGCCCTCTATGCAGTAATATGGAAAGATCTCAGTATATATTTTTCCATCAGTAAAGCAAGGTACAGAGCTGTGTATGGCAAATCACGTTTTGTGTTAGAATATGAAACAATGTGAGTATATTTTCCTGTGTGATTGCATTTGCTTCTATCTGGAGAGATGCATAAGAAACTGGTAGGCTAAATAATGGCCCCTAAAGATAGAGCCACTTCGTAATCTCTGGAACGTGTGACTATTACCTTATTTGGCAGAAGATGCGATTCAGTTAAGGAGATTTTCCTGGATTATGCAGGTGGGCTTTAAACGCCATCACAGGAGAGGCAGACAGTGATTACAGACACCAAAGAGAAGGCAGTGTGACCATGGAGACGGAGAATAGAGTGGCGCAGCCGCAGTCAAAGGACGCCAGCAGCCATCAGAAGCTGGAGGAGGCAAGGAACAGGGTCTCCCCCAGAGCGTCTCCAGCGAGTGCGGCCCTGCTGACACCTTCATTTCTCCTCGGTGACACTAAATTCAGACTTCTGGCCTCCAGAAGTTTGAGAATACGTTTCTGTTGGTAATTTGTTACAGTAGCCATAAGAAACTCATTCGGAAACTGATAAAAATAATTACCTCTTATGAAGAATTAGGTGATTGAAACAGAGGTGGGAGTAAGATTTTTCACTGATAATCTTTTTATACTGTTTATTTTGTCGAATGAGATGAGTACATTTACATTTAAAATGTAAACTGTAGGGCTTCCCTGGTGGCCCAGCGGTTAAGAATCCGCCTGCCAATGCAGGGGACACGGGTTCGATCCCTGGTCCGGGAAGATCTCACATGCCGCGGAGCAACTAAGTCCGTACGTCTCAACTACTGAGCCTGCGCTCTAGAGCCCGCGACCCACAACTACTGAAGCCCACGCGCCTAGAGCCCGTGCTCCTCAACAAGAGAAGCCACTGCAGTGAGAAGCCCATGCACCGCAACAAAGAGTAGCCCCCGCACTTTGCAACTAAAGCCCACGTGCAGCAATGAAGACCCAACGCAGCCAAAAATAAATAAATAAAATAACTAAATTAAAAAAATGTAAACTGTAAATCTCTCCTTTAACACAAAGATTTCCCTCTCTTCTCAGCTCAGGCTGGGCCCTCAGTTCTGCAGACCGGCGGTGAGGAAGAGGACTAGACTGTATCCGGACCTCACGCGCTCAGCTGTCCAGGCTGGCTCCTGACGTGGAGATTCAAGGCAAGGAGCGGTCCTTCCGGATTGGCCTTAGCACAGCCTGGCTGTTGGTACCTTTGTCCCAGCACCCTGCCCGACTGAAGGCTCTTCATTTCAAGGCTTGTTTGTGTGAGCTATTCAGAGATCCTCCTGGAGGCGTTGGCCCTGCTGCATTCCATGACCAGGGTGAGAAATGACTTCCTATAATTTCCCTTTAACTCCTCTCCCTTTGAATCTTGGGAAGCAGGTACGGAGTTCTCACATATTTTCCCACACTGAATAATGGGTGCCTTCCCCTCTTATATTTACATCACCAAAGGAGTTCTGTAGCTTTTAAAGAACAATGAAGATCATTTCAGGGATACCACCCACCATGGGCACTCC